AAAAAAAAAAAAAGAAAAAAAAAAGAGTGAGGTCTTGGTTGGGTAAAGAAGACCAGGCCCGGCTTCAGGTCCCCTTAGTCGGTGGGCCCGATACAAGGTAGCACATACCGCATGCCAAACCGACCAAGTCAGAGCCCAGCTTGGCTGCCCATCATCTCTAAGGAAGGAGGCCCACGCAGGCCCAACCCAGCCTCTCACCCCCCTCAGCCCCCTGTGGACATACCCCGAGGTGGCAGGTCTGGTCGGTGGCTTCTGTGTCGCTGATCCTGAGGGCCCTCCAGCGGCTGCTTGCTTGAACCCTTGAGTGCTGGGAACAGGTTGGCTGAGGAAATAAGTGTTACAGCAAAGGTGGCAGAAGGTTCCAGTTAGGCTGGATATGGACAAGGCCTGAGCATGAAGCTGTTGGCCAATCGTCCCCTCAGCGCCCCTCCTGTTCCCATCGTCCCATCTTGGGAATTCTCCTCCCAAGTCTGAGCCCTTAGCCTTCCAGTACCCCTTCTTGGCCCCAGGGCCCACTAGGGCACAGTGGACAGGCACCGACCATCTGCTGACAGTCCAAGGAAAAACAATCCACACGTTATAGACACCAGAGTTAAGTTCAAGTTCAAGGCCTTGTTCTGGCCCACATAGCTTTGCTGAGTTAGACTGGGGCTCTGCTCACTCTCTGGCCAGGTCCAGCTCCCTTTGGGCTCCTCTCTTCTCCTGTCTGTGGTTCCCACCCACCTTGGCTGGCTCTCAGGGCCAAAGGGAAGCTTTCTCCTTGGTTTCAGAGGTAGGTCAAAGCTACCCTCCTCGTTCACACCAACCCTGGGGCTGGGTTATGTCCCTGGCCTGTTGCACAATTGCCTACTTCACTTCTTCCTCCCTCTGGCCACACGGCATCTTGCCACTTCCTCTGGACGATCCCAGTCTTGCCCTCAGAGGTCCCTCGCTGTCCTGCCCCACAGGAATGCCACGCGGTGACTTTCCCTAGGAGTTGCCCCTTAGTCACTGTCTTCTCTGACACTCCTCCAAAGCATGGGCATATGTCATGTCCTTTAGTGCAGGCCAGCAGAGGCACCAATAATTTGGACACTGGGTCTTTTGGGACCTCAAGGGCACTACGGGCAGGCCCTTGCTCAGAGGCACCGGGATGACTGTGCCTTTGTCACATGAGGGTACCCTCTGTCCCTGCCTGATCAAATCAGCCCTTGTCCACACGATAGTCAGGGTGTGTCAACAGCCTCCCGATCCCCTGTCTGCACCTGGGCAAGGATGGGGAGCCAGACCCTCTCTCTGTAGTGTCCAGAGAGGTAGAGAGGCACAGCTAAGAGGTGGTGCAGGCCGGCACTCCTGACTGAGGAACCAGGACGGGCAAGGTTGGCCCCCCACACCCCTGCCCGGCCCTTCCTCCCTTAGATAGCAGCCCAAGCCCATACCTGCTGGAAGGGGGACTGCCTCCTGCCCCCACCCGGTTCTGGCCCTTAGAGGCCTCTGTGTGCTCCTCTCTGGCCAGACCTTGGGACTTCTTCCGAGATAAGGCATGGCTCAGCCAATCCTCTTCCTCTTTGTCCTTAGACACTCCCAGCTGGGAAGGCTGGCTGGCTTTGGCAGGGAAACCTGCACTCTCCGTTGGTGGCTTTGGCCCCAAAGAGGAGGAAGGCAGTCCAGCTGGGGCAGAGCACCGGCCTGAGTCAGAGTGCTGGCTCCTGGGAGGGAGCACGGAAGGAGTGGAGAGTGCTGAGCCTCCCCTCTGAGCCTCTCTGGTGGGAGAGGGAGGGAGCAGGTCGTCGTCCTTGAGGCCCAACCAGTCAGCTCCTCCCTTCCTGGGGTGAGTGGGGCTGGAGGCCGCTGGGGTGCTCTGTTTGGAGCCTGGTTCTCCCTTGGTGTCTGCGCTACCTTCTGTTAAGAACCTACTTCAAGACAGAGAGGAGGGGGTCTAAGGCAGGGCAAGCAGTCCATCCTAAGAGCCCCCCAACCAGCCTTCCCCTCTGCTGCTCGGGGGTGACTCTGAGGCCCACGCTAAGGAGTGAGAGGCGCCCGGAGCTCCGCACAGCCAGCCTGACACCCAGTGAGCACAGTGCCCACCCAGCTCGGGCGGCAGAGCAGCGGCCGGCTGAGCACCACTGGGAGAACACCACCGAACACAGACATCTTGAACAGGGGACAATTCCATGCATAGCAAACAGCACCAAACGACAACCACGGGCACGCACGTCCAGAGAAAGATCAGTTGGATCAAGTGGTTTTAGGTTTTCTATCAACAATGTCACCTGTTCGTTTATCTGGCCACTGCCTAGAAGCATTACTGGCCCCTGGCAGAATGTTCTGAGGTCTAAGAACGTACTGGGACTGGGAGAAATGTCAATGCGTGTGCAGGTTATTCAGATAGAAACAGGCTGACAAAGCCAACGTGGCATAGTATCAACAACTGTGGATTCTGGGCGAAGCGCAGGAGGGAGCTCTTTGTACCATTCTTACAACTTTTCTGTCAGTTTGAAATTATTTCCAAACATAAAATTGAAAATGTATACTGGGAGGAAAACCCCAAATTCAGAAAATTCTACCCACTAACTTAATGTTTCGCCGCACACAGGGATGAGCCCACGGCAGCGTCACAGTGGACCCCAGGGCCGCTCCTGGGGTGCAGGGCGTGAGAAGCCACTGAAGGGTCACGGTCTCACTGCCCTGGGACTGAACATCCCTCAGCTGTTTATGGCTTTATGGGTCCCGGGTGGTGTTGGGACCACCTCCTCCTTCTCCTTCCAAGGAGGCTGGAAGGAAATGGGCCTGGATGCACAGGACTGGGCAACCCCCCTCTTCCTTCAGCACCTGCAGACAGCCACCCCTGGGCCTTGTACGCCATGCTTCCCCAGCAAGACTGTCGGCGGGATGGGGGAGCATGGGGCACCTCCTCCTTCCTGGTGGGCACCTGCCCCAAGGCCATGCTCTCTGCAGGCCCTGCTTACCTGACCGACTGCCGGTGGGACTGGCGGCCCTCACAAGAGCCCACGGTGGGCTGATAGGCCCCAAAGGTGAAGTCCTCATCACCCCAGGAATCTTCCTTGTCTGTAAATGAAGAAGCCTGTGATCTCTAGCAAGGGAATTAGACATTTTGTGGCTGCAGAACTCTGTTTAAAAAAACTGAACCGGTAGCTTGACGTGTCAGCAAGTAAGTAGAGGTGAAGCTGCCGTGGGGTTGGCAGGGGTGCGACACTGGGTGTGAGCTGGAGGTCTCAGGATCCCACACGCCAGGCATCACCTGGGAGCTCTGAAAAAAGCACTGGCAGGGTCCTGCCCCAGACGTCCTTTAGATGAGGCCCGCTGAGCTGCGCGTGCCGTGAGAGTGATTCTCAACAGCTGGCCCATGGGCCGACACTTTGAGAAACACTGGTCTAGAGTGATCTTTTGCAAACTGTGAGCTGCTACCTATCAGCAGGTCAAGAAACCAATTTCACGAGTCACAACCAATGTATTTGTAGATCAGATAACGTATAAATAAAAAAACCACAGAATACTGAATGTGGTAATTATCATTCCGTGATGCTTTTGTCTCAGTTATGATAATGTGTGTTGTGATGTAGGCTTATTTCTCATTGTGGGTTGTGGTAACAGCGTGGTCTGGGAGCCCTCCACCTCGCCTCCCCTGCCCTGCAAGCTTCCTCACCCTGGGGCCTCTGGTACTTCTTGTCCAGCTTGAATTCCCTGTGCTCCCCAGTGCCCGGGCGGGCCAGGAGCTTGGTGGCAGTGCCCCGACCCAGCAGCTCATCCAGCCTGGAGCGAGCAGGACGGGGCCCTTCCCTGCGGGATGGAACACACACAGGTGCCTGTGAAGGTCGGGGGGCGCCTGGGGGCCTGCATGTGCCCACCCTCTAGCTTTTCCCTGCGCCAGAGGTAGCTGTATGGGCAGGGTTTCTCCGCTCCTAAGGACCCTTACTGGTCGCCCGTCTGCCTCCTTTCTGCTGTGGGGCTGTCTGCAAACCCCAGGGTGGCCACGACATCGTCCTCCTCATCAAATAGCACTTCTTCTTTCTTTCGGACCGGGGTGTCCCCAGGAGTTAGTGGAATAGCTGGACCTAGAGGACAGAACACAGGGCACAGGACACAGCGCCCACGACCCACCGTGCCCTCAACTGTGGTGTCTGAAGGGGTCAAAGGGGGTGCTTCTCCATGACCCGGATCTCTGGGTGTGGCTGCAGGCAGCGCACAAGTCTGGTCTGCGCATAGGACTGACTCCCCCGCCCCGCCCCAGCTCACGCATCCCACCTCCCTATTCAGAGACACCAATAAGCTCTTGGTCCAGGACCTTAGCCATGTGGTCCCGGCCCGGCGGAGTCTCTGGTTGTGCAACCTGCATCTGCCCCGGACAAGCAACAAGCCCACCCTCCCTACCTTGATTTCTGACTGGGGCTGGGCTCTTTTCGGAAGCCATTTTACTCTCGGTCCCAGGGGGCTTCTTGGTGATTCCTTCCTCATCGTCGGAGAGAAGTCCCGCCAATGGGTCTTCCAAATCTCACGGCCAGAAGGGAAAGCACAGGTCAGACTGCACCGTTTGTTCAGGAAAACCAGCCCTGCACTACGGTGAGGGAGCCATCACTCGACGGGCGATTTCTAGCTGCTCTAATACACGAATAGGCCACTCAACACCCAGGACACACATCAGCCTTGGCAAGGAGACAGGGAGCCGGGGGGCCGCCCTGGGCCTGTCTGTGCACCCCCAGGGCTCTGCTGCCTGCGCAGCCTTCTGGAAGCGTCCCCCAGGCAGCAGAAGTGAAGTAAAACATTTGTGCATTTGGAAAAGGAAGGGGAATTCTTCTTATGCTTTATAAAACCTTCACTTCAGGTTGATGTCTGGCTTCAAAGTCTTGCAAAGAAGTGATCCAAATCCCCCCCCCACACAATACCATCAGTCCCTCCCTGAATTCCTGAGGAGCTAAACCGGTGGCCCCAGGAGTCTGCTCCCCCTCTGGACACACGCAGCGACCTGACCCCGGGCAAGCACGTGAGCATCAGCCAGGCTCCACCACTCTCAGAAGCGTGACTGTGGGGCCTGTGGTACCTTCGAAGGAAAACTTTCTGTATTGATGCCCAAGGCTGCTGGGAGAGGGAGGGGGCTTCTTGGCAGGAACGGTGTCCCCTGTAAGAAGCAAACAGAAGGCAAGGTCATAGGCCTTGGCCGCTCCCAGCCAAGTTCCTGCCACACCATAACGGGGACCCTGGGCTGGCGTGCCCTTCTCCTGGGGAGGCTGAGGGCTCATGGCCTGGAGACAGCGGTGGGATGGGTTGACACCTCCCCGGTTCTCACAGATGCTTCTGCCAGGGAAACGTGGTCTGGAGCCACCTCCTGCCCCCCAGTCACATGTCACTCCAAACGGTCATGGACTTGGGAGGTACACAGGCTCCCACCAAATTCCCCAATTTAACTCAAACGGTTTCTCTGGGAGCTGCCATGTTGAACTTAGAGGGCCTGGAACCACACTAGGGAGGGAGGAAACTGTCCCCTCCCCAACCACAAACAGAGAAAACCCACAGGAATGAGAGCTGCCTTCCGAGTATCTTCCCTGTCCCTACAGTGTCCCTAGATTCAAGAAACTCTTTCTACTCACCTTTCTCACCGGCTGTCAATATGCCGGCAGGTTTGGGATGACTAGGCAGCTCTTCTTCCCCAGGACCCTTGGCAGCTCTTTTGCTAGAGGTCAGATTAGACCTCTTCAGACCTAAGAGATCGGCATCCATGTCGTCCAGATCCTGGAAAAGCGGGAGGGAGGGAGGAATGCTCACTGGTGCTCAGCTAGGGGTGCTGAACGCCCCTGTGCTCCGAGAAGCCTGGTGATATGGCCTCCATATTCCATGGGGACAAGTGGGGGCCTAGTTTGGGGAACTGACCTCGGCTTACAGAACAGGCGAGAGGCCAGGTCTAGGGCGGCACCTCCACACCACCTACTAGCACCTGTTTGCCACAGGCTTAGTAAATGGTGAGGCTCTCTTTACGGTGGGAACAAAACAGCAGGACCCCGGGATTGAAGACTCCCAGAGGGACTGCCGCCGGGCTGTGAGAAGGGGCCAGGCACCCAGCCAGCAGAGGAAGGCAGTCAGGGCCTCCCACCACCCCCGCCCCCCGTACAGACTCGCCAAATGCTGACCCTCGTAAGGGGATGAGGACTTGTATCTGGGAGGACGCTTGGCACCCCAGGGGCAGAGGTGTGAGGAACACAGGGAAAAGGGAAGACTATGCAGGAAACAGAGGAGTTGGGAAAGAAAACTGGACCACGGGGACGCAGAGCGAGCTGGGGATTCTGGAGTGAGACTCGATGTCACCACCAGCCGCTGAGTCAGAGGACTAGAGGGCTGTAGCCAGGGGTGCCAGGGGTGGGTCCTGGGGAAGAGTGATTTCAAGATGAGGTTAAGAGGCTGAATATGGAGCCAAGAAGGGAACAGACTCCCAATTCTTTAGCCCTCCCTTCCCCCGCAAGGCTGAAAGCAAGCGCTTGGCCTTGGCCTGGGACCATGGGTTAACAAGGAGGACAAGAGGCAGGACATCAGGCAGGAGGGTGCTGCCGGACAGAAGGGCGGGGAAGCCAAGGTGACCTAAGGTTTCAGACCCCGGCTAGGCCACCTGAGCCCTGGGGGATTATCTTGTAAACTGTACAGAATTTATGTCTTAAAATTCCATTGCTAAGCTTAGCTTGGGGCTTGATCCAATGAGAGCACAGCTGGGCTGAAGGGGCCTTGGCAGGGGATGTAGAGAGAAACACAGAGAACAGTTAAGAAGCAGCCTTAGAGGAGAGTCTCTCCTTCTTTCCCCTCAATGGGGGTGGTGTCTTTGGGTGGGAGCCAGCCCTACCGCACTAGGGGCTTGGTGCATGACTGTGTCTCCCGGTGGATGAATCTCTAGACACCAGGAGACTGGATTTCTATCCAGAGGGACACAAAGGGCAGCAGCTCACGGATGAGCTCCTCTCTTGACTAGGAAGGGCTCAGGAACACAAATTGTAAAGAGAAAAATGGGAGGGAGAAGGAAGACTTGGCAAAGAACATTCCTACGCCTACCCCTGCTCCCAGAACCATGCAAGCCAGTAGGTACCTTCATTGCCTGGAGCAAAATCTGTGGGTCTGCATCTGAGACGTCGGACACCTAAGTCCACAGGAGGGCAAGGACACATGTTAGCTGAGGCCCAATAAAGCTCTGGCTCGTTACCTTGCTTCTGTGAGGGCAGACGGCCCAGCAGGGGCAGAGCCCGGCCAATAGGGCACCAGCAGGAAGTCCTGCCCTCCCCTGAGACTGAAGTGTCCTCAGAAGTCAAACCTCCCCAGGTGTGGAGATCCAGAAAGCGCTGCCACTTTCTGTCCCTGCTCAGTGGAAAGAACCCTTCCACGACAGGCCATCACTGTGCCATTTCCCAACTATGTAACCGGACAGCCAGGAAGCTTCTTACTGGAAACACAGTTACAAGGAGCAACATCCAAGACTCCAACACCTGCTGGGAGCTCTACTTTCTAGCTCATCTCACTAGCAGGAAGGAAAAGCTTGTTGAGTTCACATTTGGATCCATTTGGTAGCCTTTGGGTATTATTTTTTTTTTTTAAAGATTTTATTTATTTATTCATGAGAGACAGAGAGAGAGAGAGAGAGAGAAGCAGGCTCCCAAGGAGCAGGGAGCCCGATGCGGGACTCGATCCCAGGACTCTGGGATCATGACCTGAGCCGAAGGCAGACGCTTAACCATCTGAGCCACCCAGGCGCCCGCCCTTGGGTATTATTTTAAGAACAATGGCTAGGGGCGCCTGGGTGGCTCAGTCGTTAAGTGCCTGCCTTCGGCTCAGGTCATGATCCCGGGGTCCTGGGATCAAGCCCCACATCGGGCTGCCTGCTTGGTGGGGGGCCTGCTTCTCCCTCTCCCTCTGCCCCTGCTTGTGTTCCCTCTCTCGCTGTGTCTCTGTCAAATAAATAAATAAAATCTTTAAAAAAAAAAAAAAGAACGCACTGGCTTTGCAGAAACTCCTGAACCCTTGTGTGAGCAACCTCCCAGCCACCACCTCCATTCCACTGCTTCTGGGGATAAGTAGAGAGGGTGGGGGGCAGTAGGGTGGACCAGGCTCACCTCAGCATCAGGTCCCGGGATGCCTGCCGTGGTGCTGAAGGCATAGTCTTCCAGGAGGGACCTGCGAAGAGGCGCAATCAGCACCCACTTGCATCCCCAGGGCACTAATTGATTCCGAGAAAGGAAGGTGGCCCAGAGCCCCGGTGAACCTGGAAGACTTCTCCAGGAGAATGGGACAGAGTTGCTTAAAGGAATTTCACAGCCCCCCTAATGCAGAGATTTTCCTTTTTTTAAAGTAGTAGAGGCCCTTTAAAAACAATCTGTTAAACACTTGTGGTAAGCACAGCATAACTCAACCTGTCCCATTGCCATGCAGTACGCTTGAGACTATTTTAACACTGGATATCAACTGTACTTCAAAAAAAGAAAAATAGCCACAAAATGGAAAAACAACTTTTAAAAACAACAGATAAGAGAGAATAACAGAGAGACTCTTGGGTGGCTCAGTCGGTTAAGCGTCTGCCTGTGGCCTAGGTCAGGATCCTGGGACCCTGGGATCGAGTCCCGCCTCGGGCTCCTTGCTCAGTGGGGAGCCTGCTTCTCCCTCTGCCTGCCACTCCCCCTGCTTG